AGGCAACGCAGGGAGTCTGGGCCTGGATGGCCGAGTCGTCGGTGCCAAGTCATTGTGTCCCCTAGCATTGGCTTTCTCGGAGTCCATGTTGTAAAGCGAGACTTCTTCTGTGGCTTGTCTGCTGTCATTGCCGCCGTGTGCTCCACGACCCTTCTCCGAGCGTTTGGCGAGTCTAACGCTCCATCTTTCCATTCTAAGACTTGTTGCCCTTGCTTCTCGTCGATAGTGCCTAAGAAGGACCCATCTGATCTCCGCAGACAGTTGTTACCTGGTCTAGTATCCCACCAAAGGCCTCGCTGTCTCAGCTTCGAGAATGAGACGAGGTTCGTGGTAAGGGATTTACACAGGGCAACGTCATAGAGAGTGAGCCTTATCGGCGAGCCATCGGCATCTGCTAGGGTAATAGTCGCTTCACCGTAACCGTCGATTGGCACTTGGGTAGTTCCTGACCAAAAGAAATCTCCTGGTTGGGCTGCTCGCAGGTTTTTCATTCGGCTTGTATCTCGGAAGATATGCAGGGTTGCTCCTGAGTCTAGGAGAACACAGTTTTGTAATGCGTAGTAGATGCCGGCTACTAGTTCAGCGTTCGTCATGCAATCCCTGATGATTAGGGCTGCGTTCGCTGTACAGGTGCCGACAGGTCGTAGTCAGGCTGATTTCTCTAGCTTGATCTTTCTGATCCGTCCGACTAGGTCGTCTTCGTTCTCTTCTAGCCGCTTGTTGAACCTTTCGGTTACATGGGACCGCGGTTCGAACCAGTCAGGTCTGTTCTCTGGAAAGGCGTAGAAGCAACGTGATAGTGGATGGAGTTGACAGCATGCTGGGCACTTGGCTTCTTTATCCGATCCAATGCTCTGACGCCGTCTCTTCTTGGTGTTTGTTCGTCGAGCATTCGTCGAGCTATCGGCCTCTTCTTGTGTGCCTCCTCCGCCGTGGAAGGCTCCCTGACTCACTCTTCCTCGCCGTGGGGTCTCCGGCCGTTTAGCGATCTCTCGGCGAATGTCTGCCATGACTGGGCCGACTGTTAAAGTACCTGCTCGGACTTGAGCTATCTGCATGACGCTGTATGCATCTGTCCAAGCCTGTAGGTGCGTTGACTGAAGAGCTGTTGTGAGGTCTCCAAGCCACTGATCGGGTTCTATTGCCTCTTGGAGGCCAACATCCTGAGCCTCGTTGATAGCATTCCGCCATCGCTTAAGCCAATCGGCTGCAGCAGTGTTGGTCTTGATCTTTCCTTGGAGTGGTTCTCCCAAGATCTCGCGGTATGCTCGGCGAGCCCTCTGCTTCCGCTGTTCGGTTGCTAGAGCAAACTCGTCATAGATTGACTGAATCCACTCAGGCAAACTGGTCTCTGGCTTGCAGTGATGCCGAGAGAGGGGTTCATCAAGCGTCTCAAGGACCCAGTTCCTTACGTTCTTTGTTCTGGTTTGGAATTCCTTGTGGCGCTTATTGCGGTGTTCGTAGTTGGCCCATAAGGCGTTGTACACTCGGAGACCCTTCTCGGGCAGCTCGCTGACATCTTGAGCCTTTAGCGTCATGTCGTCTTCATCACCAAGAGTGGGGTCTTCATCATCGGTCACGGCCGTAATGGTCTCGGTGTGATCGCTAGAGACTTGTGATTGCTCGGCGAGCCTTGAGCGAGTGATTAACGCTGGCTTCTTCTTGAATTGAGTGATATCCGGTGGAATTGGGGCCTTTGAGATCAGCTCCGGTTTGTTCTTCTTCTCAGGGTCAAGATAGTCCCAGAGGTCTTCGTTCATAGCTGTAGTCTTCAGGGTCTTGAACCACGTGATCCAATCCTCGTCTGTGACTAGCTCGATGCTTGTGGCGGTCGCCATGCTTTCGGCGACTGCTCGTCGGGCGCTCGTGGACAGCCTGCTGCCTAAAGCGGTAATTGCTGGTAGATATGATTGCGTATGAGACTCTTAATTGTTGGATTTAGGCAGCATGCATAGCATCTTAGTCATTGAGAGCCCACATGTATGTGTATTGTGCATATTGTCATCTAGGCTGACCCCGCAGCAGTCAGGGGTATTATATGCGCAGTTGACCGCCTTCCTATTCGGGCTGTGCTCGGCATGGTCACTCAAGTGACCGAGGTCACCTGATCATGTGCATGACTGTGCGCACGATCTATTCTAACAATTCAGGCTTGGATTGAGCGCATCCCTCATCATATTAAAAAAATCATTGAGTTGGAAGGAGGAAATGAATACAAGGAAAGTCGGACACAGCGGTAGGTACATTGGGAATCCTACTATACATTTTGGGTGGGACCCTGCTCTTTCCCGTGACGCTAGTGTCCTTAGCGTGAGCAGAGACTTTTGAAAGGCTCCTCTGTACCTAGCAAGGATTCAAGGGTGTGGCGTCCTTAGCGTGGGCAAAGACTTTTGATATGCTCCTCCGTACAGAGGAGCCTTTCAAAAGTCTCTGCTCACGCTAAGGACACTAGCGTCACGGGAAAGAGCAGGGTCCCACCCAAAATGTATAGTAGGATTCCCAATGTACCTACCGCTGTGTCCGACTTTCCTTGTATTCATTTCCTCCTTCCAACTCAATGATTTTTTTAATATGATGAGGGATGCGCTCAATCCAAGCCTGAATAGCTTCCTGCGGAAGCTCCTTCCAAGCTGCTTTCCAAGCTTTGACTGCCTCATGCCTTGACTTTGGGGCTCCTTTCCTTGTAGTCCGTCTCTTTATCCATGGCCAAGCCGGCTCAATAGGATTGAGGTCCGGGGAATTCCCACACCATAGCAGCCGGCTGATGCTATTCGCATCATAACATTGTTGCTGTATATAGTGGCTGTGAGCAGGAGCCTTATCTTCTTGGACCAAAGTGCCCGGGCGGTCCTTGGTACATTCCAAAGCAAAAGGAAACATCTTAGGGATCAGGATTGTCTTCTGATAGCGATACCAGTCAATACCGCCCTTGGACCCTCTCGTCAGCTTTCCGGACTTCTTATTCCATCGCCAGATTGGCTTCGGGCCGGGTAGTTGATGTAGATGTAATCGTCGTATTCCATTTGAAATTTCCCACTCTTCTCGCATAACAGCTTCAAGATCCTCATTCATTTTATTAATGATTTTTTCGGCTTCCTTCTTTTCGGCAGCAGTCTCTGGACCCCAACAGTGGCAGGGGCCCTTCTTATCATAGGAAAAGGCGCCCCAGAACATAAATTCAGATGCATCTTTCCATCGCTCCCGGATACAACTTCGAACAAATGCCTCATCGGCTTTTCGCCATACGCGATAGCTTCCTCGTCGATGGAGCAGGATAACAGAGGTCTCGTCAGACCAAATGACATTCTTCCAGTCCTCTAGGGTCCAGTGCTGGTGTTCAAGACACCAAGCCAGACGTGCCTCCCTCATCTTCTTCGTCAATCCAGGTTTCCTCGTTGGCTTTGTCTTTCGGAATCCAGCTTTCTTCAGTATTCGCCATACAGTGACGGCCGAGATCTCGATCCCATCGCTGCTCAGTTCGCCCGCAATATCAGCACACGTCTTTTCCCTGCCAAATCGATCGCGGCGAACCTTGGCGATGATCTCTATTCGTGCCTCGTCCGTCTGCTTCTTGGGACGCCCGGAGCGGTGCGCATCACGAAGGAATTCGTCATGGAGGGTCATCGGTCGGTGGTTGGGATCGAATCCGCGGGAAATAGCGCGTGCGTAGATGTCATTGATTGTACGGGGCGAAAGACCTGTTATCTCTGCAACTTCAGCTGTTGTTTTCCCGCCCGATGGGCTCTTGAAGACGACCACAAGAGCCCGGGTTGCAATATCGGTATTTTGACGCATTTTGGCGGTCAAGATGAGGGGAAAACAGGAAAAGTGAAAGAGGGGTGAGGTACCTAAGAATTTGGCTGGGTACATTCGCTTTCGGCACGATCCCTGTTTGTGGCTGACCTTAGCGTCCACGCGAGCAGAGACTTTTGAAAGGCTCCTCTGTACCTGACGACACATCCAGCCTCGTATCGCTACAGGCTACTATCCACTAAGTCCACTGTAGCCTTAGTGATGTCAGACCTATAGTATCTCCAGCTTGTGCGCTAAGTGCGCTATAATATAGGGCCTTATTTAGCGCCAATGTTCGTGGGATGTACTCAATGTTCTTTTGACAAAGAAAAAGCAAAATGTGGCTTGTGCGCTGGCAAAGACTTTTGATATGCTCCTCCGTAGGGGCCCTCACTTCCTTCCCTAGGGCTAAAATTACAGTGCAACGATCATCGCCGGGCGTGTTCATCAGGATTGTATTGCCACGTCAAGCCACAACCCATGCGCCACAACAATCGAGCTTACTTCTCAGGCTTGTTCCGAAAGGCATTGGCGGACCCCGTAGGGGACCGGTCTCCTGTTGTTATGCCTTGAGGAACTTGTTCCGAAAGGTTCTTTCTTCCGTGCCCTCTTCCGTGCCCTCGTTCTTCAAGCTCGGATCGCAGAGCGGCCCGTGCGAGCCGTCTTCACCACAACCTCTGCGCCACGGTTTCTGCGCCACGGTTTTCGACAGCCGGCAAGCAGCCCTTCACATGTCTACAAAGACGGATTTCTGGAAGCTTCTTTCTTGACAAGCTCTAATATACCACCAAGCTTGTGCGTGAAACACCCCGGTCTCTGTAACACGTCAGGCCATGGCGTTCAGCCAATCTTTACCATTTACCACGGGCCGCGTCATATCGATAGCTTATCGATACGATCATCGCGTTGCCTAGGCATTCCAAGCGGATTGTTTTCAACTTCAGTTTAAATATGTGGACGTGGGTTATGGTGCACAGAACAATGCAGGGTCTCTGACAAATGAGGCGGTCGTCCGTCTAGGACAGTCATGCCCCAACCTAAAGAAAGTTCAGCTCCAAGCTACGTCTCACGTCACTGACGACGGTCTTCTCAGCTTCTTCGAAAACTGCCCTAATTTGATCTCGGTGGAGCTTAGCGGCGCTTCTTGTGGCAGCTGGGATGGACTTTCCGGAAGGGCGCTTGACTAGTTGCGCGAGCACCCGGATTGGGTTCCCAAGTTGAAGAAGCTGATTCTTGGTGAAGAGGAAGATAACAAGCCATTCATGAAGGCTATGCGCTCTTTGACCAAAGAAAGGCCAGGGCTGACAGTTACTTTGCTTCAACGGGATGAAGCCAAGAAGTGGGGAGACTGGGTGTTGGAAGAGACGAAGACGGCGTACAAGAAGGGGCGGCGTCTGGCGTGGTTAGCAGGGACCTAACCTCACGCGACCCTTCTATCCTCTAATTTTTAGTCTTTCTTCTAGACGATACGAATTGAATCGGTGATCGTTATCTCAACCCGAAATCAGACCGCCCGGGCTTCCTTCACCTGCTCCTCCAACTTCGCGATGCTCTTCGGCAGATATCCCTTCACGCCATACGCACTTAGATAGTCTCTCTCCTCAACCAAATCAATCAACGCAACCCTGACCCAGTCCTCTGTCTTCTCTCTGCGCTCCCTTCTAGCCTGTCGCCTATTCTTCTCCCATGCTAGCTTTTGGCGGTACATTTGACTCCATTGTTGTTTGTTTGGCCGTCCAGTCTTGAACACGCCCACGTCCGCATCCTTGAGCGTCCACCGCATCGGTACTTCGGACAGCCCGGGTTTTTGACAAGCGGGTCTCTCCCGCATTTGTATCAGTGGTAAAAGCTCCTCATCCAGCAGCTTAAAAGTCGGAATGCTGCTGTCATCAGCGGTGCCGCACATCTTACACGTGGCGTCGAGATCGGTGTGTGATGCGTCGGCCATACTCAGCAGCAAGTTGAAAGCCAGCGTGCCATCTGTGGCGAGGAGAGTATGGACGGCAGCCATGTGCTTTTGGACAGAGGAGGCATAGCTTGAGCTTGTGATCGCCGTACTGTTACCGCTCATAACCTTGACTCTTTTGTCTAGCTTATCGATGCCCTTATCGATTGCCTTCAGAGTATCGATGTAAATCCTCTTCGCGTCTGATTGGCGCTCAGAGCTTTGTTTTTAGATTTGGCGGAGCTAGCGGTCCTGGCCGCCTTCTTAAGACGAATGGGGGAATCATTTGCTTCATTAAAATCTTGAACCTCCACGATGTCTTCGATGTCGCGCTTCCGCTTAGCTGAGATCGAAGGCTTGAGCCGACTGGCTATGGGCGCTTGTGGAACCATTTTGTGTACAATAGAGGCGCGTACTTAGACGCGTTAGAGTCACTGAGCCGGGGGGTTGAGGGTCAGTGTTGAGGTCCGTTGTTTGACTGATCGATGCCTATAACCCGCCCTCCTTTGCGATAAAACAAAAACAGGTTGATTGTGTTGTTGTTGGTTCTAAGTTACATGTATCCGACAGGAGCTGTCTGCGTCACTCTTCGTCTCCCAACTTTGAAGTCACGTGCTCTGGGGTACGATGATTTTAGATTGGAACACGTCAGAAGACCGCCGCCCCCGCACGAACAGAACGAGCAAGAACACTGCAATCTTCAATCAATCCTATCCTGTGAATCGCGATATACTGAACTCACCCTACCCTGAAATTGCTATAACCAGTGCGCATCTAACAGATAACGCCGCGACTTCGTGAGTGTTTGCTAATTGCGTCAGTTCTGTGACCGTTTCCGAAACCTCGACATCCACACTAGGCTCTACCCACCAAGATGCCGCGGATGAATCTGGGCCTTCCCTACAACCATTGTAGCCATCAGCTATGCCAAGTTGGCTTCCAGAGCCCTGACCTTCTCCGCTGCGGTGGTTGTCATGTCGTCAAGTATTGTGGCCAGCCGCACCAAAGGGCCGACCGACCCAAGCACAAGGTCCAATGCAACCCGATAAAGCAGACCAGAGACAAGGTCTCAGAGGAAGAGGCAAAGCTGCGGACCAGCCCTGGCGCAGACACAGACGGGAACCCTTTCAACAACGTCGCGGGCCTTTTCTGGTTCTTCAAAAGCACTCGCCCTTACATGCAAGCTCGCTTTGACTACATCACTGCCGTTCTGAACGTCCGCACCGGCGAAGCCGTCGAGATCGCACTCGACCATTCCCTCGACCTGCTTCGTCTCTGCCGAGGCGACAATTTACGCGTTCGTTCCCAGGTTCCTGCGCTGTATCTCCGGCTTGGGAGGGACCAGGATGCATACGATTTCATCAAATGGTATGCTGTCAGAGGCGACTCGCACTATGACTGGCGCGATATGAACTTGCCGTTTCTCGACATGCATGGAGAGGATGCGTTTGAGGCTGTCGACGAGAAGCCCCACCACATCGAGTTGTCCTTCTTCGTGGCCTTGACGCTTATCAAGATTCGATTGATGAAGGATTTAGAGTCCCTCCAAGGATTCTTGCGGAGTAATCCTAACGCGACAGGGGAAGCTAGGTATGATCATCTGCAGGAGGAGGCGATGAGCGATATACTCCTGAGACACCCGGACATTGTCGCGCAAGACAACTACGAAGAGATGATCGCTGAGCTGCGGCGCCAGGCACTACGGCTGTATAGGATAGTCAAGGAAAAGAACCCACATTTCTGGCCGGGCATCATGAATCCGAACCTGTACACTCATAGTGTGCCGACGACTTATGCTTTCGGATCACGAGAGGAGGCTGTGCTCGTTTTTCGGAACTCATGGTACTCGTGGTCAGAGACAGAAGTGGCCATACGGTTTATCAGAGGGGTTATACGCGACGATGCGTAAGAGTATAGGAATGTAAAACTGTACGGGATATTCTATTTAGGAACAACCGATATATTTTAGCCTTGACTTTGGCATTTTACGCAATATGAATGGGCTTAGCGGCGAAGGGCTGAGAACCCATATGCGGCCATATATTTGTGCGTTCATTTGTTTGTTTGAAGGAAGACGATGCTGAAGATGTTTGGGCTTTGTTGACGCACGACGGGCGGTGTATTGTTGCCGGCTAAAGTCGCAGTCGCCAATGGATGCATGGTTTTCATCGAGTGCTCCTGAATTTCGCGCTCTTTTCCCCGCCCGCGGTCGCAACGAGATAAGGAAGCCAAAACACCGTAGGCAAAGATGGTATAACCCATCGAAGTTCTTTGCAGTCTCGGGCGGAAGTGTTGTGTTCCTTGAGTGGCTGTTATTTCAGAAGTTCGATCGCGCTGTTGTGGAAATTTTTGCGTTTCGGCATTTACTACGTGACATGTCTAAGCCTCAGCATTACCAGTTACATCAACCACAAGAGATGCTAGTCATAGCCTAACATAAGCGCCTGTGCCTTGAGGAACTTGTTCCGAAAGGTTCTTTCTTCCGTGCCCTCTTCCGCGCCCACCTTGATAAGCTCGGGCCACCAAACGGTCCGTGCGGGTTGGCTGCGCCACGTAAACTTCACCACAATCGCTGCGCCATATTCTTGCGCCACTGTTTTTAAGCCACACAGCGCCACAGCCCACCAGCATGCCTGGCTACCAACCTTAGCCAGTGGGCTTTGCAACCCAGATATTGACAGATACCGTAACTACTCAGTAAATTCGGGCACCTAGCGTCTCCATTTTAAGTGCACATTTCCACTATTAACCGCAAAAACGTCACAAACTCCTGATATAATTGGTCATATGTGCTTTTATGGGGCACGCTATGTGCCCGAATTTACCAAGTAGATACGGTATATCACAGCCACCTGGTCGGGGCCGTCGGTCCCGCTGTGCGAACGTGCGCTCCCTATGTGAAACCAGGTGCCTATCCACGTGAGTTCAGTTGGCCGATTGCCGTTGTCACAACTTTCCATCAACCACATCTCTTGATCCTTTCTGGCACCTAAGTTCGACGTTGGGGAGGATGTTTCCCGAAAAAAAAAGTTTTGCTTCAGTGAGAAGCATATTATTAAAATCGCCGTCTGTAAATAAAAGTGAAAGGCAGGTATCAAAATACATCGTTACTCCACGGCAAAATGCCCGACTCCCAACAGCGCTTTCAGGCCAGCTCAATAAAGCGTATCTTCTCACTGAACGACGAAAAGAAATTGACCAGCTACGGCACCGCAAATCACCAGTAGAAGAGCCGTGTACTTGTTCGTGAACTTGTAGAGAGCAGCCAGAGCAAGCAGGTAAAGCACTGCAGCAGGCCCGACCTGAGCAGTCATTGCAATCGCCTCTGCCATGGGCTTGTCTTTGAACTTGTCGATGGATCCCTGGACGCTAGCTTTCAAGATCTGCGTCGCAATGATGGCAATCACACCAATGACTGAGCCGCAGAGGCCGTCGAAGAAACTGGCGAGGACCTTGTTCCGAACTAACTTCTCGAGCAAATTGTGCCCCGCAATGGTAAAGAGGAAACACGAAAAGAACATGCCCAACGTAATAACTACCGCACCAGCGAAGGCATTTGCGAGCGACTTATCCACATATCCTCCCTGAAATCCGACAAAAGTCGCAAAGATTACCAGTGGCGCGGGCAGAACGTTGCCGATGGCAATGGCGTCGATGAACACGCTCTGGGGGAGCCATCCGCCCATCAGGACGGCTTCGACCTGAACAAAAGGTATCGCAGTGTATGCCCCACTGATGCGAATATATCGCGGAGGTCACATAAAGTGAGGTTGTCATGTAGATGTAGAAAGATGGATGACGAGCTAAGACTACAAGTGAGGACGGAGCATAAGGTCTCCTTTCTCACGTGATGTTACATATAATACCAGTCTTAAGCACCAGGCCCAAGACTGGTTCTTCACGTATCATATCCCGGGCTTTAAAGGAGGTTATCACTGCCCTCAGTGAGCCTTAGGAAGATGCTTTCCTTGCCGTCAGTCCGTTCGAATCGAATCCATCCTTGCTTCCTGATCTTTCCATCACACAGTCATTATACCAGGCCCATCAGGGCGTTCATTTCATCTTCCGCTGCGAGTTACGTCGCGGTCCTTCATCCACTTCGAATGCCTCTGGGTGAGCGGTCTTGAAGTCGGTGATAACTTCAGGATCGATGTCTGCAGTCCGGACCCAGGCATCGTGTTCAGGCCCCCAGCCTTTCCATCGAACCCAAAAGCCCTCAAAGGGCGTAGCCTTCCGACCAAGGCGACGGACCTCTCTGCGCATGATCCTTTCCACTACATACTGGCCGTCATCTTCCTCTACTGGGCTAGGTTCCTCAGGCTGGAAGGCGTCAGCATGAGCAGGTTGAAGCTGCTGGCATGATATCACTGGATGTATCTTCCACGCGGGTGGTAGCTCGAGCTCGGCTGCGAGGTCTCCAACCATTCGCTTAATCTCAAAAGGGCCGGTGCGTTGCTGCGACCACTTCCTTGCGGGCTTTCCTGGCAGATGGTACCCATCGTGAAGGCGTAGATACACCTTATCGCCAGTTTTAAGCTGAATGGGGCGGTGTTTCGCATCGTACCATCGCTTGGCCTTGGCCGCTGCGAAGTCCATCGCCAAATGCGCCTCCTTTCGCACTGCCTCACGGAGGAACGGCAGGTCGGAGACATCGTCATCTCCTGGCTGGAGGCCTTCCAAGGGGCCTCGAAGGCTGATGCCATAGATGAACTCATGGGCAGATGTGCGTGTACCGATATTGTAGGCGCCGTTGAGGTTCCATTGAAGAGCTGGAAGAATACGGACCCAGTTGGCATCGGGGTTTTCCATATAGTGGAAGCGCAAGGCTATCTCAACTGTCTGATTTCGCCTTTCTGAGAGACCATCGGCCTGCGGGTGGTAGGCGGTAGTCATCGCTAACTTAGCCCCAAAGAGGCTCCAAAGGGTCTTCCAGAAGGGGGATGTAAACTTTGAGTCGCGGTCGGAGATAATGACCTTTGGCATGCCCCAGTCGGATAGCATCAGCTGCCGGGCTAAGATCGTTGCCCAGTTGGCTGCTGAGTAGGTTGAATAGCCGGGGATAAGAAGGCATCGCTTGCTAGCAGCGCAGGTGACAGTGAGGAGGGTATCAAAGATTGGGAAGCCCTCCAGAGCCCACGGGGAGTCAATTGAAGAAACTGGCGGCAGGCTGACGATGAAATCGATAGCTATTGTATGCATTGGTTGCATTGGGGGTCTGATAGGTTGATAGTTGCCAATTCGTTGCTTTCTATCAGTCTGCCCTAGGCAGCAGGTCTGACAGTTGTGAATATGCTTCTTGATAGCACGTGTGAGGTTGTGGATACACAGGTTGGATAGCTCTCTTGTCATCCTTTCAATCCCAAAGTGATGCCGGTTATCGTGAGCCATCTCAAGGATCTCCTGCCTGAGGGCGTGTGGGACACACAGTCGGGTGTATCCGTCTATGCCCTGATGGTAGAGGAGTCCATCTCGGAGGGCAAAAGGCACCCCGGGCTTGAAGGCGTTCACGGCGTCCTCGTCGGTCAGCTGGGCTGCGGCTGCAAGGTCCTTGCCCAAGATCATTGCAATGACCTTCGAGAATTTCGTATCTGTCACATAGCCCTGCTGAAATCGAGTCTTCACATCGTCTGCCATGAGGGCCTCAGAGACCATCAGCACATCATCAAGGGCGGTATAATCAGGCCGTAGGCGATGAGGGTTGACGTCGGTCTCAGGGGCCGACAAGCGGCTCAGGGCGTCAGGGATGAAGTTCTTCTTGCCGGGCAAGTGGAAGATCTTGAGATCGTATTCAGAGAGGTAGATAGAGGCAACAACGAGTCGTCGGTTCGCTCGGTCAGTGCTCGAGGTCTCGAGGGAGGTTTTCTCAACAACCTGCTTCGTAGCGGAATGGTCTGTCAGCACAACTGTAGGCAGCTTCGAAGACTGAAGGGATGTGCGCAGCCTCTTCACAGCCCACACAAGGCATGCGATTTCGAGTTCTGTAGGGCCGTAACGAGTCTCGGCTGCTGTGAGCACCCGGCTAAGGAAGCAGATAGGGCGTACGGCCACAGATGGGATGTGTGTGCCTGGTTCCCAGACATAGTCATCGCGAAGGTGGAAAAGGACGGCTCCAAAACCTCTCTCAAGGCTGCCGTCAACTTGCAAGAAGAGCTGCTTGTCTGGATCGAGGTGGCACAGCATTCGGCCAGAGGATATCTCCTTCTGTAGGGCGGCAAAGGCGATCTTCTCATCATATATTGGCTCGTAATGAGTTACGCGGGTGTAGGCCTTGCGACGGTTAGAATTCCCGTTAACAACCTTGCCTTCCCTGCGACCTTCTGCAAGCAGGGCAACCTTCCGTTTCTGCAGCGGCTCGATGAGCTGAGCATAATAAGGGATAAGGTGCCTGATGTAGCCAGTGGCGCCAATATATTGCTTAAGGCTTGCGAGTTGGTAAGGGAACTCAAGTTGTGCGAAGGCGGCCATCCGTTCCTCTGTCGTACTCAATCCAAGGGCATCAACGCGGAAGCCAAGTAGCTGAGCGCTAGGGTAGCCGATCCAACTCTTCTTCGGAGAGATAGTGAGGTTTTGAGCTTGGAAGAGGCTGAACAGTGTCTTTAGGTGCTTGAGATGCTCTTCCGCTGTCTTAGAGAAGATCACGATATCGTCAATGAAAGCGCGGCTGAAGTTTTTGTAGGGGCGAAGCAGCTTATCCATGTACCGTTGAACATAGGCAGGGGAGTTGCGGAAGCCCATCGGAGCTACAGTTGACCTTTCTAAGCCTCGATGGCTTGTCATCGTAAAGCGGTCCCGGTGTTCGAGCTTCACTCCGAACTGGAAGAAGAAGGATGAGGCATCAATAGCCGTAATGTAACGGGCGCCGCGAAGGGCTTGAATGATGTCTTCCTGCCGAGGCAGAGGGTAGTTGTCAGGGATCGTGATCTTGTTGAGGGCTCTGAGGTCGACAACCAGACGACCCTTAGGTTCGCCATTGACTGTACGCCAAACGACAAAGATTGGGGCAGTAAAGGGCGTAGGTCCCTTGGCCCATTCGAGGCGACCTTGCTTGTGTAGGAGGTCGAATAGCTTGTCGATGAACTCGCGGTCTTTGAGGCCACTGGGATAAGGTCTCTGCGAAATACGTTGCTTATGCCAGTTATCGATTAGCGGGACTTGGAGTTCCTCGCCATCAGGGATCTTGACAAGGCCTGTATCGCTCCAAAGCTTAGCATATCGGGCAACAAGACGCATAGCCGCAGCTGTAAAGGCAGGGTCTTCAGCGTAGATGTGGATGCCTTCGTCTGTGAGGATCTCAGGCAGGTTCGGTGTCTTCCGCACGTGGGTTTGATAGGGAATTCGAGCAGCTTCGGGGGCAGCTTCATCGGGGGCCTCAGGCGACGAGGGCGCTGGAGAGGGGTCGCCATCGTGTGCGAGGAAGGCTGCGATAGAGGAGGCAGCCTTACGGCGCTGCTTCCAGGGAAGTTCCGTGTTCAGCCGGTCCTCAAAGATAGCATCGCTGAGCGATTCCACAGGCGGCGCCGCCTGGGGAGTCCAGTTGAGCTCATAAGAGCCTGAAGCAACAGCTTCGATTCCCTCTGTAAGGGAAAATTCCTCAGAGATCGAGGGTAAGGGCCTAGAAAGGCCCACAGCGGCTTCGTCTGTCTGGCCTGACACCACAGCCAAGGCGGGGGCAGCTGCGACTGTAAGGGCAGTCAGGGCGGCGGTCCAAGTTGACACAAAGTAGCTGTCATCTTCGCACTCATGAATATTCCCGATCTTCTGCTTCCGGTGGAGCTTGATATCCTTCTTCGTGTTGTTTACGATGACCACAGCTGGCAGGGCTTCATGGTCAACCATAGCGTGCATTGCTGAGGGGAGAGAAGCATGGAAGGCAAAGCTGCGATCCTTAGGGAGCTCCTTCCAGGTAGCTGCAACAGCTAGGGTCTGCCCAGCAGGTATCACAGTGGCTCTGAGGGCGTTGACGCGTCGGGTGACCTGCTTGCGAGGGCGAGAGATATCAAAAGGAATAAGGAAATCCTCAAGAACACCACACCGAATTCGTTTCTCGGTGATCAAGATGTCGCATCTATAGGGATCGAGAAAGCCGTTGCCAAGCAAGGCAACAGCATCCAGCTTGTCCTGAACCCAAGCACCTGTTGTAAACTTAGCTGTGCCAGCTTTGGTGCCGTCTGCGTGGATGCCTTCAAGATAGAAGGTGAATGTAGCCCATTCGTCAGTACGCTTCCAGCCACTGACTCCTTTGATGATGATTGGGTCTCTTTTCGCGATAGTATGGTCGAGACTTTGAAGCCAGGTGCGATCGATTACAGGGCGGCCGCAGCCAGAGTCACCGCAGATTTCCACAGACTGGTCGTCTTCGGCACGGGCTTTGGCTTTAAGGCGCAGGTGAGTGTAATCGTCGCTCGGAGCACAAGGCTTAGGCTCTAAGAGAGATCCCGGAGCAGGGCTTGCAGCTGTAGTTGCAGTAAGGGCAGCCTGTCTTGCTGCAGCAGTTCCTCGGCAGGTCTCAAGGTGCTGGAAGAGGCGGCTCCGGCTAGGGAAGCTTTCCTTGCATCTCTTGCAACGTGAAGGCTTCGGTGTGTAATCGAGCTTTTCTCGAGCTGCCTGCTGAGGTGTGACACAGCAGTTGGCAATGCAGTGCTCCTTCAAAATCATTTTTGACGGGAAGGAGCGTTGGCAGGTTTCACACTTAAAGGCAGGGTCGGTAGGAAGGTCGAAGATGGAACCGTTCATAGCCACAACATAGGCCTGCTGCGAACGTGTTGAGAAAGTCGAAGTGTCCGAAAGAGAGGCATCGTCCTCATCGTCAGCGTCCGATGTGGTCGAGGCTCGTTCGCGCCGAGGCTCGGGCTCGGGCTCGGGCTCACTTTCGATAGCCGGGTATTTCTTTTCAAATGTGACCCTCTTCTCGGAGCGTTCCTGTCGGTCACGGTCACGATAGCTGTCTCGGGTTCGGTTGCGGCGGTCATCCGTGCCTCGGTTCTCGTGAATGTCTCGCGGCGCGCGGTATCGATCACGGTCTCGGTCGCGGTCTCGATCACGGTCTTGGTCGCGGTCTTCGTATCGGCGGCTGCGGTCGCGGTTGCTGCGGCGGTTGTTGTCGTAATCTCGTTTTTGGTCGCTACGCTCATAGTCTCGCCGGCTGTTGAAATGGTCATCGCGACGACCTCGTCGCCGTTGGATTAGGGCCGTGATAGTAGGTCGAAGGTCTTCACACTCTCGAATGAAGTCGATCAGATTGGTCTTCGCCTTGGGCATATTAAGAAGGCGGGAGATCTCAATATCGATCAGTGGGTAGATAGCTTGCAGGATGTGCTTATCGTTTTGGAGACCCAGCTGCTTGGCATAGGCTGCCTTGCGCTGCACCCACTGCGTGAGGCTGATATCGTCTTGCGCTAGGCTAAGTGTATACCTTCCTGAATGGAGGTCCTTTGTGATCTCAGCGTCGGGGCGCTTGAATCGAGCTGTGAGTTTCTTGCAGAACTTGTAGATAGGGGCATCGAGGAGCCGGTTGCGCTGATCAGTGCTAAGCTCGCCCATGAACCATCCTTGGGCACCGCCTCCAAGCATAGAAACGTAGTATTCCTGGAGGGAGTCCTCACCGTAACGCTCGAAGACTCGGAGGTGCTCGCAGAAGAGATATACATCAGTGTAAATCTGCTTATTCTGGCTCACCACAAGGCCAGTCCCCTTGGGGTCTTTGAAGTCCGGGTCGAATAGGCCGATGGCTTCCTTTCTGATCTTTCGGTGGGCATCGGTGCCTACTATCGTAGAGATCTGAGATCGTTCTCGTCGGGAACGGCGAGCGGCTTCGGCCTCGTCATCTGAGGAGTCGTCTGTTGCAGATGAAGTGGGCGGTGGAGAGCCACGGCGGCTCCCCTGGCGATGCTGAGAGGTGAGCCCGGATGACTTCCTCTGGGGTCTTGAGGCATCCCAAGGATCAGGTGGCTCGGTCTCGTCATCGGTCAGGCCGGTCGGGGCTCTTACGGTGATCAGCTTTACACTGGTCTCAGCATTGGGGGGATCGAAGTCGAACTGCTTCACAATGGCCTTTCGCCACCAGCCAAGATGAGCCAAATCGTCGGCCTTAGCTGGGGGCAATCCGAGAAGCTCCTGTGCGTTGCCATCACGGGCAGCAAACTTTGAGATGAAGTGTTGAAGGGCATAGACTACATCGCTATCCCATACAGTCAGAGTCTCAAGAACTTCCTGTGTCGCTTTCTGGCTTAGGAGATGGGCGTATCGAATGCCCCAGCCTGTGGCCTTAGTATTTGAAGGATCCTTAAGCCAGGCTGATATCGTTGTCTTATCGAGCTGCTCGATGTCTTGTGGCGATGTAGAAAAGCGTTTCTTTTTGGGCAATGTAGTCAGACCTGTAGGCGGGGGAACCTGTCTAGACTGTTCTCCCTCACTTGAGCCGTTGTGAGATCGAGCCATCTTGACTTATTGTAATGCTTATTGCTTGGCGCAATAGTTGCTTGGTGAGGTCAGCAGGAGTGGCGGTCTCAAGGCTGTCAGAGGAGTGTTCTAAATTGGTTTCCGATTGATGGGTGTAATGTTTCAAGCACGCTCCTTCCAAGGATATCGTGCTTAGGTGCGAGTCTCACCAAGAGATAATATCGCGAGGGGGTGCAGAGCGGGTGCTGCTTCTGCGTTGTCAAAAGGGATCCGGGCGGTTGCTGGTCGTGCTACCAAGGATCGTGTTGGGTTGGCCGATAGAGGCCTGATGGTCTAGGACCTGGTTGGCTAGTACCTGGGGCCTTGACGAACTAAATCGCAGGCTTGACTGTGCGATAGCTTGCAATTGCTACCATTTGATGCGAATATATCGCGGAGGTCACATAAAGTGAGGTTGTCATGTAGATGTAGAAAGATGGATGACGAGCTAAGACTACAAGTGAGGACGGAGCATAAGGTCTCCTTTCTCACGTGATGTTACATATAATACCAGTCTTAAGCACCAGGCCCAAGACTGGTTCTTCACGTATCACCCACCAAATGACAAACTCCCCGCAACCAAGCCAAGGACGAACAGATTAATGGTGGATGGGGTCTTGGCAATACCAAGAGCGAGGGAGACCGGAGACGGCACGCTGCGGAAGACGACGTAAATGGCGTAGCCGACGTACTGGAGTATGAAGAGGGCCCCGGCAGGAATCCATAAGCGGCGGGCAACGAAGGCGTAAATGACACCATAGAGGCCTAAAGACATAAAACTGAAAAGGTGTAGTAAGATCAGCAATGCGGTCCTTTGCAATTTTGTGGGACGCCTTAAGGTGGGGTGAAAGGGAATGCAGGAGGAACCAACATGTTAATACGGAGTGCGCCGTTTATAGCAGTGCAAACGGCCGCCATGATGAGAAAAGGGTCGACTTTTTGACTGTTATGCTTCCTCACTGAGTGGTCTGCAATCTTATGCGTTGCCCGAAGAATCTGCAACCCCGTCAGCACCCTGATCCCATTTAGACAACTCCACGGTCAGGTGCCCCACCATTGCTGCTACAATGGGCTGCAGCGCTCTAAAGGAGGCATTGAAGTACGTGTTTTCGAAGCCGGCGAGGGAATAGAGATAGCTTGCGAGAAGCATAAGAAGGAAGCCGGGAAGCATAAAGGCAATTCCAGCGAGAATGCCACCTATACGGCCGGCAGACAGACAGCCAAAGAACATGCATAACTCGGCAGCCTCGGGCCCTGGCAAGATCTGGTACACGGAGAAGACGCGTTGGAATCGGGGGAGGGAGATCCACTTGTCCTGAATGACTAGGCGATCCTTGATCAGGGCGATCTGGGCAACTGGGCCCCCCCAGGCGAATAGGCCGAAGTTGTAGAAGAAGAACCAGAATAATTTCAGGTAGGACAGTCGCGGGACGTTGGATTGTCCTCAAGGCCTAGTTCATCGCCGATAGATGCGGAAGTTGGCGGTGTTGGAGCCATGCTCGGCGGATTCATGGACGCCGACTTTTCGACATCGTCGGGGTTGGACCCTGCCTCAATTGGGCGGCTTGATGTAGGTGCTAATCCCTGATTCGTCATAGCAGCGGTCGTTTTAACGCTTCAGAAGTCTGGAGTTGAGTGCTTACCTCTCAAGCCTTTGATATCCAGTATTCACCGAGAGCTATCATCCCGTTGCATACTCCCATATATATACCTGCCTTGGGTCATTGGGAGTGGACGGACAGGCCGGCTCTAATTGGCTCATCCAGCCTGCGCCTAGCTATGTTTGGTCCTGATGGTGCAAGAGCTGCGGAATGAAATCGGTGGACGGACAGGCGGCGCATGATTGGTCCGCTTCGGCAAGCTTTCGCCGTCCACGCGGGGGCCGCCAGGCCACACACACCCCCCGAGTAGCCGTCGCCCCAGACCAACTCGCTCGCACAATTCAAACCACGTTGTTTCGTCACGTCTCGATACCTGCTGGGCCATTCGTTTTTGCGTTTGGGGCCCTTGTTCCCAGGGTTTCGTTCGGAGCGATGACCCCAACCAGAGTCCGGAAACCTGAGTGCAATGCCGCCCCAGACAAGGCGATTTGCAGAAATGTCACGTGGCGGATATCTCAACCCAAGTCCACCCATTCCGGGTTAAACACTTCATCCAACCATCCCGTCCAGAACTTGCCAAATGACCTTCTTCTTGACAGCGCACCCTCCCTGGCCATTCGACGTGCACCCGTTCTCTAACGCCTCTGCAACGTCGTCGATCTTCTCCTCAGATGTCGCGAAACGCATGAGCATCTCGTACGCCTTAGCACACTCAATTCCCTCCACATCGCCAGAAGTCGGAGCGAGCTCATCCGCAGCTGGAAGATCGGGATTCTGGGTCAGGTCCGCACCAGGGTTCTCCGCGAGGCGCGAGAGAAGTTTGCACGGCGGCTTCGGCCTCGCCGCCAGCAAGGGATCCCCCGACGGAGAGGCGGCTGACCGACATACCTCCCCTAATTGAGATGGTGAGTCAATGCTGGTGGGCGCCGTCGGGGACGGCTGGTCTTGGCTTGATCGCGACAGAGTGTCGCAACCCTTGTCCCCAATGCTCAAAGAAGTCTCGGTTGCGTGGATGAGCTCTGGAATGTCGGGCATCTGCGTGGCAGAGGCTTTACAGGTGGTTTTGCGACCAGAGCCACTGCTATCGCTGGCGGCTTCCACTTGTATTCTATTGGAGGCGTAGTCCCTCGCTTTTTGCTCGCAAGTCCGCCACCGAGCACAGCTCTCGTGATTCCCTCTACTTCCACTGCCGCCCTGTTTCACCCAGGCGTCAACATCTTCGTGACTGAAACCAGCAAGGCCGAGGAGCTCCCGGAGCCTAGCATTTTCCTGCACAACCTGCTGAGCCGCAAGTTGCACCTCCTTCGTAGCTTGTACACCACGCTCCCGCGCCTCTTTCAACATTCGTTCGAGATCGGCCACGTATTCCTTGCGGCGCGCGCGATAGCGGCGCTTGTTCTCCGTGAGTCGTAACGTGCGCGAGGCGGTCTGACCCAAGGATATTAGCAAGATGGACCCAGGCGGAGTATGCTACCGGCTCGGCTGGTAACCCACGCTTCTCCGGTGACAGATTTTGAGAGTGGGCCAAAATACAGTTAAGGAGAGACTTACCGCCTCGGTTTGATTTTGAGGCATTACTACGGTCGCACATTACCACATGGGTGACATAACCCTTTTGGGAAGCCTCAACTATGTGGAAATACTTAGTAATCTTGTGCCCCCTTGCAAGACTACAGTACCGCACACTATCCGGAAGGTATCTCTTCATTTAGATAGCATCTCCACCGGGGAATATGTTGTGATAATTCTAGATGATGCATTACAATTCTTCCACTCACACATCCACACCAGCGTCAATACCCAGCCCATCGCTACACTATAGCTATTATAGGCTATTCCCATCCATTCCCTAAGTAACCTCGGGTCTATCTATCATGAGATTGTGCGACTGACCTTGTCTTGTATGTAGATATGCTCGATCACGTCCTATCGCCGATATGTCCCGATGTTCCGAAGACCGTGGCCCCTAAATCGTACCAAAGGAGCCACGATTTCATCCGCGATAGCCACCCAGGGTCGAATCTGTGTCCATATTGCGGGAGACGTTGGCCCACGAGTATCTCCATCCTCGGCAGCTCGCCAGTCCCGTTTCGAGATGTTGACACAGCTTCTACCTCCTCCGCTATACAGTCTATCGACCTAACAGCCTCTGATCGTTCCACGCCCTCACAGACGATCTTGACCGGTTCTGGAGACGGCCCTGGCCGTATCGCAGCATCGCGGCTCTCCGCCGTGTATCGAGATGCCGAACTTACCCAGAGTCGGATCGCGAGGGGCATGAGGACGAGCTCGTCGCAACTCAATGAGGCTGTGGCTAAACAGGGCCAAAATAAGAGCAGACAGAACATCTCGATGCGTCTCACCGTCTTGCGAGGTCTGACGCATGGGAAATACTAGACGAAGACGAGGAGCCCCAGTGGTCTTTGGCTAGAGAGCTGCTGAAGGTCGCTTTGTGCCCCTTCGTCGACGAGGAACCATCTTTATCTGTCCACTTCTGGTTCGACAGCATCGTCGTCCCTCAGTTCAAAGACAAGCCTGCCCTCTCTTCTGTTCTTCAATTCGACAGTGACTCTTTCAGAACGCCCATATTAAAGAGGTATTACGGAGCTGAGCGGCCTTGACTGAGAGAGACAGATAGTCGCAGAGCTTTTCGGCGAGGACTGCCCTTTTCGTTTCAGTAAAACAGAGGGCAGATATCTCCTTTTCCTTGTTTTCTATGAGCCATTGCCTCCTCGACCACAAGTCCCGGCCCCTCGTCATATCAAGACACCGAGGTCAGCCATAAAGCCGTTCAAAAAGGAGAAGGGAATCAAGAAAGAGTTAGTCAAGGCCGAGGTAAAGGTACAGCCAGGGATGGACATCTTACGAATCTATCGAATCGAACGCCAAGCCTTGGCGTTCGAATCGAATGTGACCCCGTAGATTCGAATCGAATCGGACGCATCTCCCACAGATTCGTATCGAATCGAACGTGCCACAATTCTTGTCCTGTAGATTCGACTCGAATCGAACACATCTCCCGCAGATTCGTATCGAATCGAACGCGCCACAATTCTTGTGCCGTAGATTCGACTCGAATCGAACATGTCTTCCGTAGATTCGATATCTATCGAATGCCAAGATTCGATCGAATTCGATTCGAACTCGATCGAACGTAGAACTAATCCCGGCGGAGACCGAAACACCAATAGGACCTAGAACCAAATGGACCGTCGTCATCATCACCAGGCCGTCATGCCGTCATACCCCGACAGAAGAGTGGTGAGAGGTGCAGAGCGGGTTTAGAAGGTATCACGGCTTCAGATAAGACATCGCAGAACATCGTCAATTGTGCAAAGGCAGGTACTAGGCAGATTAAATGTCACTCGTCCCCCTCAGCGACGCAAGTGCGTCAACCCATTGATCATCACTGAGGCTAACCAGCGGCAGTGAAGGCGTGTAGATCCCAGCTTTACTCCATGATCGAATGCACTGAGCCATCGCCACTATCTCCCTCCTCAGCCGACTTCTCAACGGTGCCGTCATACGTCCTGCACTGCTAAATGTCCTCTCGCTCTCCGCAGACGACGATGGGATGGTGAGCATATCAACCGCCATCAGAGACAGTCGCGGGTACCGATTCCTGTTGATTTTCCACCAGTCAATCGGCCTGCTTCTGTAGTGGTGACTGTTGACAACATCCTCAGCACAGTACCGAGCATATTCGTCATCAGCAGTCGCTCCTGCTGTCGTGTGTTTCGTCTTTCGGGTGCTCTTGCGGGCACTGGACACTGCCAAGGACGAACCCTGGGCGCATGGCGACCCAGCTACACTCCTGGCAAGTCTCCGCTCAATGTAATCCATTGAGGCCTCGTCAGATGTAGCGAAGACTTCGTAGTCAACTTCGCGTTCCCTGTAACTCTCCCAGATCTCCAAGAGCTGGGATTCGTACTCTAATCGCCAACCCTTGGCCTTACGAGAAGGCACTCGAGACCACAGTTGATCGAGAAGGCGCCACTTCTTCGCCGGGTTGAAGACAACAGCGCCGACATAAGCTGCGCTAGTCAGACAGTTGTAGTACTTGTGCAGCTTCTTCCATCCGAGCTTGATAAAGACCTTGAGCAATCTACGGGTTCTGCTATCGAGCCCGTCGTAGATGGCGACTTCGACGTCCTTCTTCTCCTTGCTCACTGGATCCTCAACTTCTTCAAAGATTGTGCCTTCGATAGCTCCTTCGAGGTGGTCAAGTAGGATCTCGAAGACAGGGAAGTATTCATCGAAACTACCGCAAGTCGACCTCGCGTCGGGAATACCGTCGCCCTGAAGTTGCTTGGTGGCGATTTCAAAAGGCTTCAGAAGCTTGACAAGCACCTCGATAACCTTCCAGTCGTACGCACTTAAGCGGTATTGCAGAACTGCCGGTTTCGGTTTGTCACAAAGACCCTCAGTTTCCCAACGGTTCTGAACGTCATTGAAGAACGTATTGAGAGCCGGGCGGAGACGAAGGGCCCTCTCCATCATCCGCATATCCGAGTTCCATCTGGTGGCATTGTTGAAGACCCAGTGAAGTGTTGATTCATGGCCGGATTCCTTGCGCTGAGACTGAAGAAACTGCTCGTACAGCTGTGTAGTCGCTCGCAGCTGAATCCCGATGTTGTGAAGCATTCCTGGGGCGCCGTTCTGGCTGTACTCCCTGAAAGTGGCTCCATTGATCTCCTCCGGGGCTGGGTGGGATGATAGGAAGTCCTCTTCTGGGATACCAACGGCAGTGTTCGCTTCAAAGTCTTCATCCGTGCCGTCTTCCATTTCTACATCCAGGGCCTCGTCGATAGCTTGATCAACTAGCTCCTCATCGTCATCTTGATCGTCACCATCGGCAGCGATGATTGCCGCGAAGTTCTCTCGCTTCGAACCGTATAGCATTGCCCGCACGCAAAGGTTGAAGATATGCGCAGCGCAGCGGATCCGTCGCTCTTCAGCTGAGAAGCCGTGTTCAAAGGCAAGATCGTCCATGCAGGTGTCATTGTTGGCAGCATTGTCCAGCGTGAAGTAGCCAACCTTGTCCGGGTCGTTGATTTGCCAGAATGCGAGCGTATCAGCGACCTCATCGGCAAGTGAAGCACCGTTGTGTCTGCCCGAGAGAGGTCGAAGCCCAAGGAGGATTCGGTGTTGGACAAAGTGGTTATCAATGAATTGAGCGTTGATCCCAAGAAACGAAGTGTACGACTTGGATGTCCAACCGTCGAAGGAGAAATGAATCTGGGATCGAGCGCTGCGCAATACTTCGGTTACCGGCCCAACGGCACCCCTATACTCGGATTCGAGCATGCGAAGCAGCGTCTTCGCAGAGGGAATGTGGGTCACATCAAGGAGGGGATTGCCGTAGAGAAGGATCCGCTGGAACCGCTCGGTATTGACAATGTTGAACGGCAGGTTATGGTAGGTAATCCAGTCGAGGAGGAGTACTCGGAGGCCTTTGCTGCTGAATCTTCCACGCAGCTTGCTGAGAAGAAACTGGTCGTGGGGATTATTGAAGTCGGCATCGATGAAGTCGGTGATGGTCCTGTCATTTAGAAATGAGCCCCCCACGGGGCTGGCAACTTTGTTCGGGGCCTGCCAAATCAGCACGTTATCAAACCGTAGATGAGAGGCACACACTTACAAGAATCCCGTGGGCTTTGAGTAGGTGTTTCCTGATGGCGACTCCTGTCGAGCAGACGAAACAGAAGTCCGACTTCTTCTTGAAACCTCGGGCAAAGCAGTCGGCGCAGATCCACTTCAGCTTATTTCCCTGCCGCGAGGTGGAACGGTCCTTAACGCGATACCCATATTGTTGCCACCATGCCCTCGTGTCTTGGCCGCCAGTATAACGCTCGAATCCGGGCCATTTGGCCCACTCTTGGCGGCCCCAGAGTGTCCAATCGACCTGAATAAAATCGGCGGCAGTCCCGCGAGGACGGAGCGATGGCGTCGTTGGTAACGAGGTTCCTGGAGACGGGGCGGCTGGCGAAGAAGAGAATTCATCGCGCTCCATCACACCTGGTTGATTCCAGGACGAAGGGCTCAAAGAGAATGGTTCGGAGGACATCATGATGCAGTTAGTTTAGCTAGTCGGACAGATGGGTCGCGTGGGTCGAGGTTGTTGGAAGCCATTGAGACTGCACTGAGGCTCAACTTAAATCCATCCATCCATCACTGACTGGACAGGCATTGAGGCCAATAACACGCGTATATCACGCCCATTTTGTCGTCAACGCGAAATTCGCGACATCTCCACTGCCGCTAAACATGCAAAGTCTTGTGCGATTAATGATGCATTCGCGAGCAGCGCGAACGACGACCTGGCGCGCCCAAGGCGAGAGAGTCGCGCGTGAAGCCGCCATTGTATGTAAGAAGCCAAACTTTGTTCCGACCATTGGTGT